GTAGAGTCTGAAAACCTCGTAAAAATTATTATTTCCTGAAAGACTCATTTTTTATTTCAGGTAAAATTGTTTCTTTGAATCAAAGAGCAATTCTTTAAATATAGTCATCCTAAAAAAGCAAGTTCTTTGAACTCGAGATCGTTTATTTAAATGGGGAAATTTTAAATCATTTCTCGGAGATATGAATATTTTTTTCTTATTTTAATTAAACTTTTCCTTGATATAATTATATTTAGAAATCAATGAGCTATTTTTGTTATTTATTATATAATGGATAATTACGTATATTTAATGTATTAAATTTTTTAATTTCATTTCTTTTTTTTAATTTGTAGAAAAAAATGTTTTCTCAATAATGTTATTTGAAAATATATGCGTGACGCTTCACGAGAGAAGGAACGTCGAAAAAAATTTTAGGTTATCTTATGTTTAGTGATAGTTTTACCCTGATAAAAAGTTTCTTCTTATAATTAGGTAAAATCAAAAATAGTTTTTATTCAATTTTTTTTTAATGTAATGGAAACTTAAACATAAATGTATTGTATTAAGAGTATTGATGTATTTTCACTTCAAAAATCAAAAAACATAACCTAAAATTTTTATGTAAGGCCCCTTCTCTCGTGGTGCGTCACATATTGTAAATATATAATTTTGGAAAACATTTTTAATTTATTTATTCTAATAAGGGGCCGTCCATAAACTACGTTACCTATTTTAGGGGGGGGGAGGGGGTCAAAAAATCTAAAAAAAATGCATTTAACGCAATGGTAACGAGGGGGGGGAGGGGGTCTAAAAAGAATGAAGAAGTGGTAACGTAGTTTATGGACAGCCCCTAATATAATTATTAATATAATAATTATAATAACAATATAATAATAATAATAATAATAATTTCCTTAAGTTTTTTTTATTGATTTTTATAAATTTTATAAAAAAATAATTTTGTAAGATAGTTGAAAATTTTTTAAATTCTAAGTTTAGAATTTTTTTAATAAATGAAATTTTTTAAAACCGTTCTTAAAAATTATTATTGATAAAAATTGCCAAAATAAAATTGTAGAAAATTATTGTAAAGAAAAATAGAAAATTTTGAAAAACTCTGTTTTTTAAATTTTGAGAAAAAAAAATTGAAAGACGAAAAACATATATATATATATATATATGAGGGAGTAATGGAGACAGCGATGCTGAAAACTTCAAAGCAGCAGTGTGTTTCATCGATTAGATATACCTGCGAGTATATAATATATATGTATAGGAATGCGGCGCGGGCGATTTAAATGCTCCTACTAACGGTATTTATATGTTTTCAATGCTAGACGAAACGCTTATAGTAAAAAAAATATGAGAATTGCATATTACTCTACCATTATTCTTGCTCTCCTTCTCATTTCACTCAACTATCCAAGCGTAGTCCATAAAAATTATATATACATAAATTTCATCTTATTTTTATACGATTAGGTATTAATTGAACTTATACGATTTGTCAATTATTATTTCTTTATTTGGTATATTCACAAACACTTTAGGAACTCGAATTTTTAAATTGTATTTTTATATTAATAGTTTTTAATATTATTATTATCATCTTTATTATTGTTAATATAGGTATAATATACATTAATATAATAATAATAATAATAATAATAATAATAATAATATAATTTATAACAAATATAATTTTTATTCAAACTTCAATTTTTATTAGTAATCTCATTTAAATGCAATTCCAAAGAAGAAAAATATTTTTTTTTATGTATACAAAATACAAAATTGAAGTTTTTATTGAAAATAATATAAAGAATTATATGAATAATGATTTTACCATTTGTTCGATATTAAAAAATAACGATTTAATGTTTCTTATTTAATATAAAAAATTGTTTTTAAAAATTTATGAAAAAGAAGTTTGCTTTTGATTCTAGAAGATTCTGAGAAAGAAAGAGAGAGAGAAATTTAAGAAAGTTTCTTGTTGGTTACAGATTCTGAAAGACTTGTTAGAATCCTCGCTACAATTCTATAAAGAATTTTAAATGCTTTAGAAAAAAAATTTACTTTCTTTCAAAAATCTTATTCATATAATTTTTTTTGTTATTTATAAATTAAAAAATAGTTTTCAAGTTTTTGAAAAATATATTCTAATCACAGAAAATTAAAAGGCATTAAAATAAGCTGCAACGCTTATTATTTTAATCCAATTTTGCTTATTATTTTAATACCAAAATGGATTAAATTAAGCAAAATTGGATTAAAATAATAAGCGTTGCAGCTTATTTTAATGCCTTTTAATTTTCTGTGATATTCTGAAAGTTACGCACTAAAAAAATTTATTTGATTCAAATACTCGATTACTTGACTATTATCAAATAAATATTTACTAGAACTAAATAATTAAATTAAAATAAACTTTATTTGAACCAATAATTTCTGTATTTAAAACAAATATTTAAAAATATTTATTTCATAATAGTCAAGTAATCGATTATTGTTTGAATCAAATGAATTTTTTTTTCAGTTTATAAATAAAATTTCATATAAAATTTACAGTAGGTTCTAAAAAGATTGAAGGGAAAAAGTTTTCATGTCTAAATTTGCAATTAATTACTAATTTAAAGAGTATAGAAAATATAAAAATATATTAATTGACGATTTGAACATTGTATCATATTATATTTAATTTAATTTCTGTGTGTTGCAATGTCATGATCAGTGAATGATACTACAATTTTATTCATACAAGACATATTCTTATTGATATCGTAAACACGACAATAATTGATATAAAGTTACTGATTGTATATTAAAGTAATAATTACAAGATATTATCACCAACCCTCCTTTTTCTTTATGTATCTCATATATACTATATAATGATCATCATCGTCAAGATGATGTTTAATAATGTATGTTTTATGATCAGCAAAATGTTTCATTTTCATTTCTTTCTTTTCTTTAATAATAATCATTTCTTTTCAATATACATACTATAATCATTTTTCAATAAGAACTATTAATATTTACCACATATATATATATATATATATATATTGTTGAGCAAAATGTTTCTTTCAAGAACACTTTTCTTCTAATCCAATGTTTTAACAATAAGAATATAAGAAAAGTGTAAAATACAAAGTCCAAACGAAAATTTAGATCAAAAGACTCATTCAAAAATGAGAAAGTCTAAAAATGTGACGAACCCTGAAGAAAGGGAAACCAAGAAGCAAAAAAATTATAGGTTATGTTTACGATAGTTTAGGAGTGATCAATTCTCAATACAAAACATTGAGTCTTCATTGCACAGAAAATATTCCATTAAAAATGATTCTGATTTTATATAATTAAAAAGGAACATTTATAACATAACCTACAATTTTTTTTGCTTCTTTGGTATCTTTCTTCAGTGTGTGAATCACAAAATTGAAAAACTAAGTATCCTTTCGATCACTCAAAATCGTCTATATTAGTGTAATTATAATTATTATTTTTATACATGTTTAAACCCCAAAAAAATTGGGACTAGAGCTAAATGTAAGGCCCCACTGTAAAAGAAAAATTTTAAAAATAAAACCACTAATTTTCAATGTCAAATTCGTAATCTCGTTTTAATTCTGCTTTAAGACTTGTAATATGCACATATAACAAAAATATTAGGCCTGAATTATTTCTATACAATTAATTAAACTCGCGAAACTCACTATTTGGTGAGTTTTTAGAATTCACAGATTACGATTTCAAAATTAATTTTTAAATTGGGCCACCAAATTTAAGGCCCAATTTCAAAATTGACTTTGTATTAGTAATCTATAACGTCTCTAAAAACCACCAAGTAGTGATTTTCATGAATTTACTTAGTTGGGTAACATTTTTTAGGCTTAAAATCAGGGATAAGGCTCAATATTTTGATAATGTATAACACTTGTCTAAACACAGAATTTTAGCGGCAAATTACGAATTTGACTTGGAAATTTAGTAGTCTAATTTTTAAAAACTATTTTATTTACAGTGGGGCTTTACATTGGGAACCAGGCCCAATTTGAAAATTGATGTAGCGGCTAACATATTCACGCTAAGTAATAGATATTATTTAATTTGTTATTAAACAATTCATCTTGTAAATATTTTAACAAATATAATATTCACGGTCAAATATAATTTCAAAAATGATAGTTTGAAGAAAATCATGTACCTTTGGTATCTCCTACACTCAGGTAGGCCGCCAGGCGACCGCAATAAAAGTCGGTACATTCTGGTTGTCGCAAACTTTAGAATTTGAGCATTTTTGTAGTTGAAATAATAAAATAAAATAATTTCGAAATATTCCTAAATTCCAAAATCTTCTCAAGTTTATAAATTTTTGCGAGCTTACTTAATTGTTGAATTAGTTCAGGCCCAATATTTGGTATAAGGCCCAAAATTTTGGTTATGTATATCACACTTGTCTAAATACAGAATTTTAGTGGGATTACAAATTTGACATTGAAAATTACTCTCTAAATCTGAATTAGTAAAAATGTTTACTAATTTAAATTAGTGACTCACTTTTTGCTTTAGAATTAGTAAAATTTTACTAATTCAGAAACAAAAAGTGAGTCACTAATTTAAATTAGTGAAAATTATTACTAATTCAGATTTAGAGAGTAGTAGCTTTTGGAAAATACTTTTTACAGTGGGGCCCTACTTTGGGCCCCAGGACGAATTTGAAAATTGTCTTAGAAATCATAATTTGTCACCTCAAACATCCCCCAATATAGAGTTTTTTTTTTTGGTGAATTTACTTTATTGTATAGAAAAAGTTCGGTCCTAATATCTAGAATAAGGCTCAATATTTTGGGTATACTTTTCGAGATATTTAATTGTTTTCAAATATTTTTGAACACCTTTCATTTAAAATTATTCAAGAGTATGATGAAATCTGCATTCTTTGTATTTTTTCAGTTTTCCATTTTTGAAATAAAAATTACAGAAAAATAAAAAAAAAAAAAAAAAAAAATTACCTTCTCAAGTTGATCCAAGGCAATTTTTGCATCTGTCCAACTTGTCCTGATATAAAGATCCGAGTTATGTCTGATTTCATCACTTTTAAGAATTGCCAATTGCTTGTTGTTAATGTTATTATTGTTGTTGTTATTATTGGTCTTAGTGTTGTCAGTTGCATTTTGCGACTGGCTCTGACAAACAGAAGGGCGTCCCGCTAGGATCCCTGTTGGACCGGACGCAGCGGTCATGATCCGTCATGCATCTGCCCCGAGCGGCGTATTATCAATATTTTTGATTTTTCTTTTTTTTTTTAATTCCTAGTGGGGAATTATTTTCCCCCACAATTTTTTTTTTTTAGAAAAAATTTGCTGCAACTATTTTATTGTCAACTTTTTCCTCATAAAAAAAAAACAAAAAAAAAAAACTTTTTCTTCTTCTGATCGAAAAAAATCACCTCGTAATCCAGGACCCGTAAAATGGTCTTCGGCCACAATAATTGACCCACACCACTCTCACTCCCTTACACTTAAATTTCATGTAAACACCCACAAAAAAATGAATGAAAGAAAGAAAAATATTATCACTTGATTAAGTTTTGTAATTCGCACGAAAAAACTTGGCTCATGATGATTGGACACTATTCTTCCCGGCATGCACTACACGGCACACTACTATTGGCGCGAAAATTGCGCTCTTTTTTTTTGAAAAACAAAATTTTTTTTCACAACTTGTCTTGTGTGCCAATATTAAAGGAGTGGGGAGGGAATTAATAGCCTCGATAATCCAAGGAGGCTGTGATGAATAAAAACGGGGTTTTTTTTTTGGGGGGGGGGGAGAAAAAAGAAAAACTTTTCTTCTTTATTGGTTATAAAAGAAAAATCGGTGAGATGAGAGAGAGCAACAACGCGTCTACGACGTTTGGGTCCGCCGATGGCATCCGGTTACACACACGATATATGTATATATGTGTGTAGGCGGTGGACCGCAGTTGATCTGTTTTCAACGATGATGCCGAGAAAGAAAAACACAAAAATTCTCTCTTCTTCATGAAGAAAAGATGTGTTTTATGATTTACATTATTGTAAAAAATTAAAAAAGCTAAATTTTTGACAAATCTTGTTACTACCAAAAACACACACACAAACACGGAATTTAGAAAACTTTTTTTTTTAAAATTTTTTTGGTATTGGCGTTTTTTTTTTAAATTTCTCGTCCTATTATTATCATTATCATCATCAGGTAAAAACAACACCCGGCTCTTATGAGTTATACGCGTATATTTAAACTTACACGACCACCACCGTTCCCAGTGTTGGCTAAGTCAGTACTAAAGCAAAATGCGCTGCTACATTTCTTTCGTGGCCCTCTCCTCTTGCCTTGTGTGCGCCGGCCATAGTTGACGGATACACCCCACCACCAACTATTTTCTGATCTCAAACGATCACACAACCGTGTGTATAGAGGATCCCTGTCCCCCGAGTCTCTTGCGGCACACAAACATTCAGTAACGTCTCTATAATAATTTACAATTCCTCTGGCAAATTTTCATTTTACGTATTATGATTTTTCATTATGACTCATAACCTATAAAAACAAAAATTGTCACAATCTCTCTGTGAATTGATTCAATTGATTTTTTTTTCATTTTGACTCATAACCTATAAAATATTGTCAACAATCTCTCTGTGAATTGAGCCAATTTATTTATTTTGTTTTTTTAGGTTATGTAATTCAATGAACTGGAATGATTAGCTCAAATGACACTTAGGCTAAATGAGAATTAAATCCAATAAAGGGTGATTAGTTTTTCATAATTTTCATTTTCAACAATTTCATTAGATATATAATTATTTTTTAAAGAAATTTTCATTTTTCGATTTAACAAATTGTCAGAATTTCTTTTTTTTTAAAGAATTTTTAATTAACATTTTTAATTTTTATTTGATAGAATTCTTAAAACTCCGAATTTTTATTTGTCCGAAATTGCAAATGACCGAACAAACATAATCGACAGAAAGATATTGGCGCGATTTTCAAATTTCACCAATCAAAAGTTATCAAGAAAATCGCGTTATTGGTGGAATTTAAAGATCGCGGCGAAATCGATTGTTTGTTCGGCCATTTGCAATTTCGAACAAATAAAAATTCGATACATACGAATTCTGTTAAGCAATAATTTGTTTAAAAAGAAATTCTGTCAAATATTAATTTAAAAAATAAATATTCTTCTAAAAAATAATTATATCTAATAAAATTCTTCGAAATGAAAATTTTAACTAATAATTTTTATGGGATAATCATGCACCCCCAAGAAAGTTCAGGTCAAATGAAAAATAGGAATTAGGATAAATATTATAGAATTGGGACAAATGAATATTAGGCCAAATAAGAATTAGGTTTAATGGAAAAGAATAAGATAAAATAAATATTAGGCCTAATACAAATTAGGTTAAATGAACAAGAATTAGATCATTTAGTGTTTACGACAAATATAAGAATTAGGTTAAATACACGTAAGGCATAATAAGAATTAGAATAATTAAATATTAAGCCTAATACGAATTAGGTTAAATAACCATTAGTCCTTACAAGAATTATACAATATAGAGTTTATGTCAAATATAAATTAGGTTTAATGAAAAAGAATTAGATTAAATAAATATTAGGCCTAATAAGAATTAGAGTAACTAAATATTAAGCCTAATACTAATTAGGTTAAATGATTATTAGGTTAAATTAGCAATAGTCAATGCAAAAATTAGGACACATAAACTTTAGGCCAAATAAGAATTAGAATTAATGTAAAAAATTAGGCCAGATAAGAATCATGACCGATAAAGGTTAGGCACAAGTGTGAAATAGATAAAATTAAGATTAGAATAAATTAGAATTAAAACAGCTTTAATAAGAAATAAGATAGACAAATAAGAATTGTGTAAAATGGAAATTAGGTCAAATTAGATCAAGTATTGCAGGTCAAAAAAGAATTAGGCTAAATTATATAATTAGATCAAATGACGATTAGAGGAAATAAGGATTAGATTACATTAAAAATTTTCAAAATAAAAATTAGGCTTAATAGAAATTGGGCAACATAATTAGGTCATACCAGAATTAGACGAAATTAAGTTTAGGCCAAATTTAATATAACAGAAAGATTAAACTAAATTATAATAAGTTAAAATAACTATTATGCCAAATGCGAATTAGATTAAATAAAGATTAGGTCAAATAAGAATTAGGCTAAATATAGATTAGGTCACATAAAAATTAGTCCAGATAAATATTAGGCCTAATAAGAATTAGGTGAAATAAAAATTAGTCCATGCAACAATTAGGCGAAATTGAGGTTATACAAATTTAGAATTAGATTTAATTTTAATATTAGGCCATGTAAGAATTTCGCGGAATACAAATTAGGCCAAATGAAAAATAGGTTAAATTAAAATTAGGATAAATAAAAAATTGAGACAAGTAAATATTAGCTCAAATATAAGAATTATGTCAAATACAAATTGGACTACTTAAGAATTAGGAAAATTAAACATGATAAATAAGAATTGTGTCAAATTTAAATTTAAGCCATAAATTAGGCCAAGTGACAATTAGGCTAAATAAGAATTAGCTTACAGAAAAATTATTTCCACTAATAAATAATTAGCCAAAAATAAAAAATAGAAGAAAAAATTTTTTTTCTCTCCAATAAAATAAAATAAAATTCTAATCCTAGTTTGATTATTAAAAAAAAAGAAATTAATTAACTTGCTATTTTTAAAAAGAAGCGCGGGGCTAAAATAATCACAAAGTACGTCCTTGGTTAGACCGCTTACGTCAAAAACCGAAATGTGTCGAGGTGAGCCGAAGTTGGGATCAGTTGGCGATGATTGGAGGAGAAGATCGGCGTCTCTCGTTGCTAGGTTACCGACAATCGCGGGGACCATAGCAAGAGATGGGATGGGGGAAAGAGAGCCTGGACCACACACGCGGCACCATTTCCCCTCGAGCAAAAACATTACCAATACTAATGCCAGTATTGCCATACGGGACACACACACACACACATATAAATACACTGTGGCACTGTATATATAGTTTATCCTCGGCCCACACCGTCCCAAGAAACTTTACGTGCGCGCACACGACCGAATACGCTTTTACTTGACAGATATCTGTGATGCAAGAATCTGCTTTCAGCTGTCTGCACAAACCCAAGCGACGTTTAACGTGTTCTCAAAAAATTTCCTTGTGGCTTTTGTATTGTATAATAACATTGTCAGAAATCCGCTATTTCTATTGATTCCCCGCCTCTCCGCCCATTTTTCCCTTGATATTGAAGAAATTGGAATTTCCCAATTGATAGATAGGATGGAAGAATTTTTTTTTAAAAGGATAATAATAATAATAACTAAAAATTAACCTGTAAACTGTTGTAGGTGCTACAAAAATTAAGCTTAGTATTTTTCCCGATCTGTCAGACCGCTATTTCTTTTTTATGTTTCTCTAATGATTTAAGAGGTAACATAACCCAAACACTTTCAATAAATCGATATATTTTTTTTTTTGTTTAAATGGTCCCTTAGGGTGTTAGAAATAATATCTCATTAGTTTTAAGTCGAAAAAAAAACATTTTTAAAAAATAATTTTCGGCGGAAAGACAAATTGCATAGTAAGAAAATTTAATATGATTAAAAAATGAATTTACAAAACACTACCATCGGTATAGTGATTGTGTCATCCTTAGCTTTACTTTGAAAAGTAATCCTACATGTTGGATATGCCATTTTACATTTTGAAAATCTGACGTCATATTCGTAATGAGTAACCTCAAAAACCCCCGAGTAACAAGTTTCAAGGACAACTGCCCATTTTTAAAAAAAATTTCCTCCATATTGGATCCGTCATTTTGAATTTTTAAAAATTGACATCGGATTTGTAATCAGCGCTCCCGAAAACCAACGAGTATTAATTTTCGTGAGCATAGCTGAACTTTTAAAGTGTTGACTTATTTTTTTATGACTGCAAATTTTAAACTTGTTTTTCTCGAAACTAAAGATTTTTCAAAATGGATGGAAGAAGTTCTCCTATAGTTTATAACGGATTTACTTGAAATTTGAACTGCAGCTTCAGGACATTATTCCTTAAGGAAGTACGTAGGGTTTTTTTTTAAATTGGTTGATTCGTATTTCTATTTTACAGATATTTTTTGAGTGAATTTTATTTGAAAAAATTCTAATTTAATCGAATATTAATTTAGCAGAATTTTCATTTAACAGAATTTCCAATTCACCGATTCTTCATTTGTCCGAATTTTTAATTGATATAGAATTCTTATAAATCAGCGAATTTTCATTTATCCGCGAAATTGTAAATGGCCAAACAAATAATCGACAGAAAGATTTTGGCTCGTGAATTTAAAAATTTACCAATAACAATTTTTCTTGAAAACTTCTGATTGGTCAATTTTAAAATTTGCGACAAAATCTTTCTGTCGATTGTTTCTTCGGCCATTTGCAATTTCGGACAAATGAAAATTCGATCAATTAGAAATTCTGTTAAATGATTTTTCGGTTAAGTAAAAATCGTCTAGTTTGAAAAATCGGTTATATGGAAATTATATCAAAATAATATTCGAACAAATGAAAATTTATCAAAAAGAAAGAATAAAATGAAAATTCTATGCAATGAAATTCTACCCAATAAAAATTCTTTAAAATGCCTATTATGTTACATGAAAATTCGATCAAAGAAAAATTCGAACAAATAAAAATTCGCCTCAAAAATAATTATGACAAATGAAGTTCCATAAAATGAAAATTCTAACTAATATTTTTTTAGGACATAATCATGCGTCCTATAAAAATTCGGACAAATGAAAATTCGTTTAATTTGAAAATTCTGAAATTTAAAAAAATTCGAATCACCTAAAATTTTGTTGAATAACAATTTTTGTAAATTAATATTCTTTTAAATTAAAATATTTTAAATTAAACTTTTGATAAAAAAGAAATTCTCTTTTAAAATAAATGAATAAAAATAATTGATAAAATTCTTTAAAATGAAAATTCTAGCAATTAATTTTCATGCGAAATTTATGCGTCCTACAAAAATTGAAGTAAAAATTTTTAGTAAAAAATCATATGGAAATAAAAATTTATTAACTTCTCTCTGTATGTATACGTATAAATTGAGAGGGACGAATGATTTTTGCAATTTTGCGTTTATAGAAGCATGGCTGGTTTTAAAGGAAGTAAATCATCTTTTTCACACTTGAAGGGGCATTTTTCATTTGAGTCGCATGCTTTCATCTCGAT